CCTCCTCCTCCTCATGTTCCTCCCTTCCCTCATTTTCCTCCTCTGCATCTTCCAGCTGCTGCTCTCCCAACTGCTGCTGTTGCTGCTGCACATGAGTATAATCGTTATTCTGCTGCCCATGCCTGTTATGCTGCTCGTATCCTGCTGGTGCCCTTGCCGACCCATCCGCTCGTCCTCCCTAAGAGATGCAGTGTGTGCAGCACCAGTAGCTGCACCAGTAGCTGCACCAGTCGCAGCACCATTGAACTCCATGCTGCCTCCTGCTTGTGGAATGGACTCAGAAGTCGCAGCACCAGCATCCTCCTCCTCTCTGCACGCTGCAGCATCCCCACCATCAGCCTTCCCACCATCTTCCTTCCCACCATCTCTCAACTCACCAGCTCTGGCCTCACTGCCAGTAGCGTGTCTCTCTCTCATATCGGCTTGACTCGCAATGCCTTCAGTCACGCTGGCAAGATGCTGCCCCCCTCGTCTTCCACTCCACTCCTGGACCAACTTCCCCGACCACACACTATCCATTCCCTCTCCCCCACTCGACCCCTCTAAAGGATTCACCTGAGTCCCGACATCCCTCCTCTCAAACACCGTATCCTCCATTCCTGAGGCTGCTTCACCTTCGGTCGAATCAGCCGCAAACTGTCCCGAGCCTGACGCCGAGCCTCGGCTCCCGAAGCTAGAGCTCCGGAGGGCAGGGGAGAGGCGCGGGCGGTCCGGAGGAGGGAGCCGGGCTGAATGGCTGTGTTTCAGAATTCGCTTAGCAGGACTGGCTGGGTTGGCTGCGCCGGCCTGGTATACAGGTGGATCTATTGCTGCTGGCGACCTTTGAGACGTCTCAAAACTGGCTGGGTTGGCTGGGCTAGCCTGGTATCCAGGTGAATCTATTGCTGCTGGCGCAGCTAGTGCTGGCGCTGCTGGTGCTGCTGCCGTTCCCAGTTCTGGTGCTGCCACTGCTGCTACACCTGGCTCTCCATAAGAAGCAGCACGCGATGGTGCTTCACTTGCTCCCAGCACTGCGCCACCACCTTCCACCGTCACATCGAGTCTCGGCCGATCCAGACCTGCAGCTGCAGCCGCTGCTGCTGCTTCCACTGCGGGCCTGTCCACGCCTGCTACACCTGGTTTGACCAGACCTGCACTCGATTTCTGTGCCTCAGCACCCGATGGAAGCGCTGCTGCTTGAGGCTCCTGAGGCGCTTTAAATACTGGCGCCGTTTTCTGTGGCTCACGTGGTAGTGGCGACTTCAAACCCCAAGGCTGGGCAAGCAGCAGCACGGGGAGACGGAGACGGTACCGCATCTGTTTTCTGCGATTCACCTGGCAGAGGGGATTTCATCCCCCAAGGCCGGGCCGCCACGCCAGGAGATGGGCTGGGGTGTGGAGACACGGCGAGCACAAGGGGATTTGAAGACAGGGGGGCGGTGTTGCCGCGGGTGGGGAAGGGAGCAGACGTGGAGAGGGGGTGAGGGGAAGAGTGGGCGGAGGGAGGAGGGGGGAAGGAGCCGCCACCGCCGAGGAGGGAGAGATCGCCGACAAGCTGGATTGTGCCGTCTATGACGGCTATAGGCGCGCCTGGTAGGGGTTCCCGCCATGCTCCGCTTGAGCATGGGACGGGTGCGCATGGGTCGTGGCGGCGGGCGGTCTTGGTTGTCCTTTTGTTGGACTTCTTCCCCCTGCTTCTGCTGCTGGTGTGGCAGCTGCTGCTGCTGCTGCTGTTGTTCACATTGCTGCTGCGGCTGCTGCCAGTGGGGCTGTTGCTGTGACAGCTGCAGTTGTGGTGGCTGCTGGCTCTGCTGGTTCTGCTCCCTTTGATGCTGTGGGCTGGGACTAGGGGTGCTGGGATCAACGCTTGTGATCGGCCGCTTCTTCGAGATCAACGGTCCAGATTGTCCACTGCTCAAGCTGCTCCTTTCCGACCAGCTGCCGAGCCTCCCGGTATTCCACCGCCGAACCACCTGTAGCTGCTCCGGGCGAGGGGACCGCCTATCCAAACCAGTTTCCGAACCAAGCCTGCCACCACCATCACTGCAGCTTCGGCGAACAACAGGATTCCTATCCCCCTGCCTGTCCCCACTGTCTTCCCTACCACCCCCCTCCTTGCCCCTTCCTTGCTCCCCCACTCCTTGCTTTTGAGGCGCCTCAAAAGTCGTCTCTTGCTCCTCGTCCCCTCCGTGCCCACCCTCCTTGACTGTACCATCAACATCCATTCCTGTTGCTGCTGATTCCCCTTGCTCCTCCCGTTGGCCCTGCTGCTGCTGCTCCTGCTGCTGCTGGTTCTCCTGATGCGGGTTCTCTTGCTGTCGGTTCTCCCGCCGCTGCTCCTGCTGCTGATGTTGGTGGTGCTGCTGCTGCTGCTGCTGCTGCTGGTGCTGCCGACCCTGCTTCTGCTCCTCTTGCGGTTGGTGACTGTTCTTCTCAACTGTTCCCTGTACATCACTGCCCCGCATATCGTCCTCCTGTTGACCACTTTCTCCCTTGGAACCTCTTCCTCCCTTCGAACCTCATCACCGGCAGCACCCTGTCTCTCATTCTCGCTGTTTTCTCACAACAATACCCTCCACCCTCCCTCCAACCATTTCTTCTCCTTCCTCGTACTTTCCACCAATTCCCACACCCCTGTCAGCAGAGGGAATGGCATGCACTTTGTCAGTGGCTGCCTCAGCTCTTGTCTTTCGGCCAGGAATCGACGGTCGGTCTCGGGGAACCCGAAAGCCCTCGTCGTCCTTCCCTCTTGTACCTTGAGGGCCCTGGGAACAGTCCCCTGACTCTCCAGTTGACTTTCGAGTTGACTCGAAGGTCATCGCCGGCCGGTCTTGTGGAATCCGAAAGACCTCGTCGCCCTTCCCTCGTGCACCTTGAGGGCCCTTGGAACGGTCCATTGAGTCTCCAGTTGCTGCTACCATAGGTGCTGTTACAGGTGCTGCTACAGGTGCTGTTGAAGGTGCTGCCACAGGTCCTGCCACCGGTGTTGCCACAGGCGCTGCCACAGGTGCTGCCACGGTTGATGCCCCAGGTGCTTCCTCAGGTGCTGCCACAAGTGGAGTAACAGGTGCTGCCGTAGGTGCTGCCACAGGTGCTGTAACAGCTGCAGTGACAGGTGTAGTGACGATTGCAGGGCCCTGGGCTGACTGTTGAGTCGATCCAAACTCGCCCCCCAAGCCACCAGGCACAGCAGCAGTGGCCTCCAGTCCCCCCTGGCTCTGCATGCCTTGCCCGCTGCGACCCCCCTCCAGCCACTGCGATCGGATGGGGCATGCAGTGGATGGGGACAGAGAGTGGGCACACAAGAATGATTGAATGGGCATGGAGATGAGGATGGGGATGGGCATGGGGATGGGGATGGGGATGGGGATGGGGATGGGGATGGGGATGGGGATGGGGATGGGGATGGGGATGGGGATGGGGATGGGGATGGGGAAGGGGAAGGGGATGGGGATGGGAATGGAGATGAGGATGGGGATGGGGATGAGGATGGGGATGGGGATGGGAATGGAGATGAGGATGGGGATGGGGATGGGGATGAGGATGGGGATGGGGATGGAGGTGAGTCGACAGTGGGGCACGATCGGAGCAAAGGTCACATGTTGGCGAAAGGACAGAGAACGAGAGGGAGGGGGATGGGGAAGGGTTGGGGAAGAGGGCAATGGAGGGGGAAACAAAGGGGTTGTGTAGATTGAGGGAGACCAATGCAGAATCGGTGCAGAGGGCGCGGTGGTGATGGTGCAGCGGGGTTGGTGATGGTGCAGCGGGGTTGGTGATGGTGCAGAAGGTGTGGGTATGGTGCAGAAGGTGTGGGTATGGTGCATACCTGTTTCAGTAGTGCCAGTTGCTCCTGCGTCAGGAATTTCGGCAGCTGGGAGAAATTGGGCAGTTGAGAAAAATCGGGCAGCTGAGACGGGTTGGGCAGCGTATCACAGTTGTCTCTATCTGCGGCACGAGCAGCAGCAGCAGCAGCAGCAGGAGCAGGAGCAGCAGCAGCAGCACCACCACCACCACCACCGCCATCAACATCAGCAACAGTAGCAGCAGATGCAATATTACCAGCAGGGACAGCAGCAGATGCAATATTACCAGCAGGGACAGCAGCAGATGCAATATTACCAGCAGGGACAGCAGCAGATGCAATATTACCAGCAGGGACAGCAGCAGATGCAATATTACCAGCAGGGACAGCAGCAGATGCAATATTACCAGCAGGGACAGCAGCAGGAGAAGTAGCGAGAGGAAAAGGGAGAGCAAGAAGATGGTTGAGATGTGGAGAAGGGATTACAAAACCGCCTGATCCAATGATGTGTGCACTGCCAGCACTACCAGAGGCAGCAGGACGAGTAGCAGCAGCAGCAGCAGCAGCAGCAGCAGCAGCAGCAGCAGCAGCAGCAGCAGCAGCATCACCAGCAGCAGCAGCGCTACCAGCAGATCCGGTGGTGCCACTGCTTCTACCAGTCTACAGCTCACCGCCCTCTAGACGCCCTGTGGTTGACACACTAGACACGTTTACCTCCCCTCCTGCCATCCCTGGGTTCTTCCCCCCAGCCCAAGGAGCTCGGGAAGAGGATGTGAGGGGAAGCGGGAGGGTAGAGAAGGCGGGAGGTTGACTTGGGGCAGGATGGTATGGGGATGGGAGATGGGGATGTGGATGCTGGGTCAACGGTGCCGATCTTCGCGTAGCATCAGGAATGGACGGTTGAGATGAGAAGGATGGAACGGAGGGGGCAGGGAGGATGTCTGAGCGCATGAGCGCGTCGAAAAGATTTTGCACCCCACTCGCAATTTCAGCTGCCCGGGTGGTCAGACCGCCGGCTGCTGATTGGTCGGAAGCTGACACTGTGGCGAAGCGAGAGAGGCAGGGGAGGGGGTGATTGGTGGGTGCAGCAGAGGAGGTAGAGGGAACAGAGATAGAAGCGGAGGTGGGGAGAGGAAGAGAAGGGTTGTGCGGGAAAGGGTTGATAGGCTGGAGTGTATTTGGGAGAGAATTAGTGAGAGATGACAAAGAGGGGGAGAAAGCAGGGATTCGGCCTTGAGGGGTGGAGAAAGAGCGGGGGAATGTGGTGGAGAGCGGTGCTGGGGAAGGAAAGGGAGGGAATGGGGGGCGAGAGGAGGGGGCAGAACGGGGGGAGGAGACGGTGGAGGGAGAAGCAGGAGGGGCACGAGTGGGGGCAGACGAGCACGGAGCAGCAGCAGATGTAGAAGAAGTAGCAGCAGCAGCAGAGTGAGCAGCGGCAGCAGCAGGGAGGCCCATGAGCAGGCCAGCAGAGGAGAGTGCGTCCAGTTGAAGCATGGCCCTCGCTAGCTCCCTCTGGTCGCCCATAGCCCTCGCTAGCTCCCTCTGGTCGCCCATAGCCCTCGCTAGCTCCCTCTGGTCGCCCATAGCCCTCGCTAGCTCCCTCTGGTCGCCCATAGCCCTCGCTACCTCCCTCTGGTCGCCCATAGCCCTCGCTACCTCCCTCTGGTCGCCCATAGCCCTCGCTACCTCCCTCTGGTCGCCCATAGCCCTCGCTAGCTCCCTCTGGTCGCCCATAGCCCTCGCTACCTCCCTCTGGTCGCCCATAGCCCTCGCTAGCTCCCTCTGGTCGCCCATAGCCCTCGCTACCTCCCTCTGGTCGCCCATAGCCCTCGCTACCTCCCTCTGGTCGCCCATAGCCTTTGCTAGATCCCTCTGGTCGCCCATAGCCTTTGCTAGATCCCTCTGGTCGCCCATAGCCTTTGCTAGATCCCTCTGGTCGCCCATAGCCTTTGCTAGATCCCTCTGGTCGCCCACACTCGTCTGTGCTGTCAATGTTTGCCCCACACACATCTGCTCCTGCTCCACCAATGGCTGCCCCGTGCTCATCTGCCCTAGACACGCTTGGGCTGCATGCTCCTGTCCCAGCATCGCCTCCCTTGCACCTGTGGGCTGTCTCCTTGGGTCAACCACACTGGGGCCTTGGAATTGCCGTGGGTTTGTTTCCCTGTGCCTCTCCCCTGTGGGCTGCATCTGCCCTAGACACGCTTGGGCTGCATGCTCCTGTCCCAGCATCGCCTCCCTTGCACCTGTGTGCTGTCTCCTTGGGACAAAGTCAAACACACCGGGGCCATGGTGTGGCTGTGTGTTGTTGTTTGCTTCCCTGTGCCTCTCCGCTGTAAGAGCAACGGCAGGTGCAGCCCCAGTTGTTACATTAGCCTCAGCAGGAGTAGCTTCGCTTGAAGCAGCGGCTGCAGTGGCAACAGTGGCAGCAATGGCAGCAGCGGCAGCAGTGGCAACAGCAGCGGTGGCGGCGGCAGCAGCAGCGGAAGCAGTAGTGTTGGCTGTGGGAGCGTTTGGGAGCGAGCGGGAGAGGGGCCAGGAGGACGGATTTTGAGACGTCTCAAAAGGCGAGGGGGGCCAGGAGGGCGGGAGGAAAGCGGGAGCGCGGGGGAACGAAGCAGCTCTGAGAGAGACATGGGAGGTAAGGAATTTTGAGGGTGAGGAATTTTGAGGCGCCTCGAAACTGGGGACACGGGAGGAGGAGAGATGTGCGTTGCCGAAGGAACGCGAGCGCAAGGATGCTGCTGCTGCTGCGGCAGTCTCTGCGTTTTGAGTCGACTCAGAAGTCACTTGGGAGGGGAGGCGAGTATTGCTGAAAGAATGCGAGCGGAGGGACGACGCTGCTGCAGCAGCAGTCTCTGCGTTTTGAGTTGACTCAAAAGGGACATGGGAGGAGGAGAGGCGAGCATTGCTGAAAGAACGCGAGCGTAAGGGCGACGCTGCTGAGGCAGTGTCTGCACTGATCGAGTGTCGAGTCGTCTCAAAACGCGGATGGCTGGAGGAAAGAGAGTGAGAGGAAGAAGCTGCTGCTGTTGCTGCAGGTGTGGCGGTCTCTCCTTGAACCGCTTGTGCTGCTGCCCTCCCTGCTGTTTGTGTGTGTGCTGCTGCCCTCCCTGCTGTTTGTGTGTGTGCTGCTGCCCTCCCTGCTGTTTGTGTGTGTGCTGCTGCCCTCCCTGCTGTTTGTGTGTATGCTGCTGGGCTTCCTGCTGTTTGTGTGTGTGCTGCTGGGCTTCCTGCTGTTTGTGTGTGTGCTGCTGCGCTTCCTGTCGCTGACGAGCCTCGAATGGAAAGGCTGCTGCTGCTGGGGGACGTGACGTGGTGGGTCTGATGGGGCACGGGAAGGATTCGAGGGGTAAGGGAGGGGATGGGAGGGAACGGAAATAGTCAGCAGAGTAAGCGTGCAAGGATGAGGACTGATGTTGGATGGGACACATGATGTTGGATGGGACACATGATGTTGGATGGGACACATGATGTTGGATGGGACACATGATGTTGGATGGGACACATGATGTTGGATGGGACACATGATGTTGGATGGGACACATGATGTTGGATGGGACACATGTAATTATCAGGTTTTTTAAATCGTTTACCTATTCAACCCCCCCCCCCCCCCATCCCTCTTCCCCCCTCCTCTCCCCCCTGTTAGCGCCTGAAAAGCCCCTCCCCCGAGTAGCGCCCCCGCCAGCAAGCTTTCCAGCCTTCCCCCCGCCATCCCCGCGCATATCATCGTTGCGCTGTCCGCGGCGTATCCTCCGCCTCCCCCTGTTGCTGCATGCCCCCTGATTCTTCCGCCCCCCAGGCCTGGAGTCCCGAATTCTCCGCCAGGCAGCGCAGGCGCGGGGAATCCCCCTTGCCTTCCGCCATATCCTCCGCTAGCACTGCCTCCCCCCGCCATTCCGCCACTCCGTCCGCCCACCATGCTTCCGGACGGGGAAACAGGGCCATCAGCGGAGATAAATCCGCGGAAGGACCCTGTTGCTTGGCCTTGGGGGGTGTTGTTTGTTCCGGTTTCGCCTTGTGCGAAATAATTATCCTGTCGTGCGAGAGTACTTCCTTGTTGTGCGATAGCGCTTCCTTGTGCGACAGCACTGAGCGACCCCTGCGACTCCCATAGTCGTTGGATGTCGCGGAACTGATCGTAAGGCATCCCGAGGGAGCCTGAAGTGACGTTTCTTGCCCCTACTGTCGCCGCATTCGCCGCGTTGAACGCGTTAACTGCATTGACTGATTGTTGGGACTGCGAAGGAGCCCCCCTCGAAAACTGCGCCGGGGAAAGCGACTGCTGCTGCTGCTGCTGCTGCTGCTGCTGCTGCTGCTGCTGGGGGAAATACCGTTCACGCATTGCATTGCCAGCGATAACGCAGTTATTTTCTTGTAAAAAAATAATATGCGCTGAGTTTCCGGAAAACAATTTATACTGGAGGATCTACCACCGCCGAGTACTCGCCAGAACTCGCGCTTCCGCGGGGATCCGACGGTAACCCTATTCGCAGTTGCAGTCGCAGCGAAATGTAACGTCATCATTGCGTGGGGATCATAGTAGTAGGCTCGAAATCTGTAGTTTGACTCACTCTAGGATCCTCGACAGGGCGCCACGCCGGTCACAGCCAAAGGTGCACGCCCCTTGCACATTTCCTACCAAATTCATTCACGCGGTTTTCACTGCTGCTCGACTTTTAATCTCCCGCGCAATTTCCAGGTTCTGTTGTGGAATACCTGTCCGCTTCAGACTATCAGGGGCGTATTCATGAAGCCGAAAAGGCAACCACTTCTGTGAAATGACCGTTCACTCTACACTTTTCAGTCGCGACTTCGACAACAATAAAATGTTTCAAGAAAGAAACCGTGCCGACAATCTCTGTTTCAAACACGCTATGGAATTTTGTGCTTGACTCTGTGACGGGGGCACTATAACCATGCGTGGCTTGGCGGGAACGAGAAATATGTGATGTCACTGGCTGGTCTGCGTGTTGAGACATGACATGGCATGTCCCTTGAATGAAGGTCTGGGCTGGGGCGCCAGGCAACCATTGGTGAACGCGAGGGCGTGAGGTTTGATTGGATGAGATGAAAGCAGGCGAACCGTGTTGACTGGGTATCGTGTCGCGCACTGTACGACTGTTGTGTGCACTTGGGCTACTGTAATTTGGTGCTGACGTGGTCGACGAGCGGATCTGGTCTGAGAATTTGTGCAATACAGTACGTTGCCTACACGTGGAGGAATCAGAACCCCCAATGCTAAGCGACAGCTACCGTTACTTGATAAGCAATTGTTCGAGGCTTCGAAGACGACAAATGTAGGCGACCCAAAGTTTTGTCTGTATACGGTTATAACGGCCGTCACTGTCCAATCATTTGTCTCCATATGTTTTTCAAGTTGAAGAACGGTCTTGCTCAAGAAACCACACAATAAGAAACGACTATTGTACACGTTTCCCTCCATGTACATGTTTTTTTAGCTGCCGTGTGCATACATCATACCTGTCAAATAACCAAAATGCTGCCATGAAATCCCTGGACTTCCCCTCCCCATGGGCTTTCGCACTACAGATGAATCCTTGATTCCACGATGGCTGGTAAATGGGACGGAAAAACTTACGGTTGATGAGAGAGCAAATTTTTTGCCAAAAACACCATTCAATCAAGATTTAGGATCTTCATGGGGAGAGACAGGATGAGGGGGTGGCTCTGGATTGTCAAGGTCCATGTCTAACGCTGCGTTTGGCTCTAGATGTGAAATGCGAATGGTTCCTAGAAGCTTCTCCGGGAGCTCAACGTCTGTGTTTCCCTGCAAGTAACGTAAATAGTGTACACCATAAGCAACTTTTTACAAACCACCACAATGCAAACAGTGGATCAATAGCACATTAGAATATATATATATATATATATATATATATATATATAGTGCCAGTACAATACCTGGATTAAGAATGCCATGTCGATGATGAGTGTACGGACGTATCCTAGCACGAATCTCACCACCCCATTGGCCACAGCTGATGACCCAATATCCACATCCACCTGCATTCCAGTGGTGTCATAGGGAGAGTGTGGAAACAGTACAAAAAAAACATCACTTCATGCATTCAAAGAGGGCTCATGCATTACAAACAATGCCACAACATGACAATTCAACTTCCATCACATACTTGCAGATTACTGTACCTCAAAGCAGTGTACCTCAAAGCACTGTACCTCCAAGTACCGTACCTCAAAGCACTGCACCTCAAAGCACTGTACCTCAAAGCACTGTACCTCAAAGCACTGTACCTCAAAGTAGTCGGGTCCTTTGAAGTACTGCACGGTGAGAGCACCAGCAATGATGAGAGGTGTCGTCCCCACACTCCTCTTCACCACCCATGCGCCCTGCCATGTACCAGCGCCAATGGCAAAAAAAAAAAAAAAAAAAAACATCAGATTACAGTATGGCCAATACATGGAGACATGAGAGGGTGATTGCACAAGCGAGGCAGATTAAAGTGGCACATGTCTGCTGCATGGATGGTATAGCAGAGCACACCGGACACACAGAGCACACAGAGCACACAGAGCATACAGAGCATACACTCACACCCACCTGGTGGATGCGGGGAATGAGCTTGAAGCGTGTGTTGCGGAAGATGTCATCCCCGTTGATGCTGCCCCAGCATGGACCGCATGCCCGTGCAGTAGGGCAAATACACACACACCTCATAGATGCAAAACAGTGCACACGGCGCAGTGCACTCTCACACCCACCTGGTGGATGCGGGGAATGAGCTTGAAGCGTGAGTTGCGGAAGATGTCGTCCCCGTTGATGAACTGCCCTAGCATGGATGAATCTGTGGGCGGCTCCTCCATGGCCCAGTAGAACACCATGCTGTACTGCTGCGCTGCCGGCACCTGGTGGGGTGAAATTGATGTAAGAGAATGGGTGACAGGCAGAGCAATGAGCACATGTCCCCACACAGCGCCCCTCCATGGCCCAGTACAACACCATGCTGTACTGCTGCGCTGCCGGCACCTGGTGGGGTGAAATTGATGTAAGAGAATGGGTGACAGGCAGAGCAATGAGCACATGTCCCCACACAGCGCCCCTCCATGGCCCAGTACAACACCATGCTGTACTGCTGCGCTGCCGGCACCTGGTGGCATTTGTGGCATGTGGGTTATACAGGTGGTATACGGGTGATGTTTTGAGGATTGAGAGAGTATGACCATGCACGCCTCTGTGGGCGGCTCCTCCATGGCCCAGTGGAACACCATGGAACACCTGGTGGGACGTGAGAGAATGAGAATTCAGGAGGAAAGCAGAACATGTGAGTGGGCCGCAATAAGCAGTGCCCCCTTGACGCTCATCTATGGCCGAATAGAACACCATGCTGTACTGCTGCGCTGCTGGCACCTGGTGGCGGTTGTGACATGTGGGTGGGGTATATGGGTGATGTTGACGCATGAGAGAGTGCCATGGAGGTGTTGCCAGCAACGCTCATCCATGGCCCAGTAGAACACGCTGTACTGCTGCGCTGCTGGCACCTGGTGGCCTGTGAGGGGTGTGTGAGGTATATGGTATGGGTGATGCGTTAAGGTGTGATAGAGTGCCATGTGGGTGATTCCTCCATGGCCATGAAGAAGTACGGCCGCGGTGAGGCGTCAAGCACTGCTGGCCATCGTCTTTGCCCCACCTCCCCTACTCCCCCCATGCCCCACTGACACCCATTGATCCAATCACCTACCCCCCCCCCCACGCACCTGCATATTCACAATGAAAAAGTATGGCCGCGACGAGGCGTCACTGCTGGCCCACTGCCCCACCGCCCCCACTCCCCCACCGACTCACTCACTGCCCCACCTCTCCCACTGCCCCACAACCCCAACTGCCCCACCTTCCCCCCTCGCACCTGCATATTCACAATGAAAAAGTATGGCCGCGACGAGGCGTCACTGCTGGCCATCAGCTCGCGCATTCCCTGATAACCAGGCACAGGGGAAGATGGGGGTGGGAAAATGGGAAGAAATGGGGGAAAATGGAGGGAAAATGGAAGGAGATGGGGGGAGATGAGCCAAAATGGGGCTGTGTATGACACAGATGCTACCAGAGACAGCGGAGGAGCAGACTCAGTCACATGCACAGGAGTCCGTTTGAGCTTCGCCACATGATCAATCTTCTCCACTCGCTTCAATCAATCCACAGCCACCAATCATCGTTGGTCCCACCCATTCCCACCCCGAAACCTCTACCAGCTGTGTTGCTAGATTCCACATGCGCACTAAGAAAAGCGCACACACACTCATAAGCACCACAATCAGCAAACTCACATGCACGGGGGTCCGCTAGAGCTCCACCACATGATCAATCCTCTCCACGAGTTTCAGCCAATCCACAGCCACCAGTGCTGGTCCATTTCCAAGACCTCTATCGACTGAGTTGTTACATTTACTCACATGCATGGGGGTCTTTTTAAGCTCCACCACATGATCGATCCTCTCCACGCGCTTCAGCCAATCCACAGCCACCAGCGCTGACCCATTTCCACCCATGAACCACCATAGGCGCAAAATGCACAAAAAGCGAAAGCACGCTCACATGCACGGGGGTCCGTTTCAGCTCCACCACATGGTCAATCCTCTCCACCACATGGTCAATCCTCTCCACCACATGGTCAATCCTCTCCACCACATGGTCAATCCTCTCCACCACATGGTCAATCCTCTCCACTCTCTTCAGCCAATCCACTGCCACCAGCGCCATCCCTGGCTGCCCCGCACTCGCAAAGCATGCATGCCCGCACACTCACTAACAAGCACTGCAGTGAGAACACTCACATGCACGGGGGTGCGCTTGAGCTCCACCACATGATCAATCCTCTCAACGCGCTTCAGCCAATCCACAGCCACCAGCGCCATCCCCGGCTGCCCCGCACTCTGCTTCATCTTATCCCTCAAATAGCTCTTCGACCGCACTGTAAAGTTCCGAACCTCCGCCTCGCTCCAGCAGTTAATCCCCCCCATCGGCGACCCCCGGGCCAGGTTCCCCGTCTTGTACGCCCATGCCCATGGGTCTACCGAACCTGCCGCCCTTGCCGAACCAGCTAGTCGAGACCCGGTGGAGGGTCGGGAACCTAGCTGCCAGAACCGAGGAGAGGCCACAGGGAGAGTTTCAGTCAGGAGAGCCTTAGCAGCAACTGCTGCGTCTCCTGCTGCTGTTCCTGCTCCTCTTGCTCCAAAGAAACTGCTAGTGCCGGGTAAGGGCTCTGATACAGTGCTCCCGGCATCGCTACCGCTGAACTCACCACCCATAACGTCCCCACTGCTGCCTCTCCTCCTCTCTCGTCCCACCCCCTCCACCTCATCAAACCCCTCCCCTCCCCCTTCTGGTATTGGTCCAATCCGCCCGTCCTCCCGCTCCCGCCTGCTCCCCTTCCTCCCACCCCCTCCAAGCTCCCTCCCTTCTGCAGCCGCTACAGCCGCGGCTGTAGCAGCAGCTGTAGCCTGCTGGGTATCCCTCAACCCTAGCAGCGCAGCCAGTGAATCCCCCCTCGTCTGCGCGAAAAACTCCCGAATGCCCGCAACCCTCGACAGCAGGTAGAAATGCACTTCGGTCGCAACACCGCTGCACATCGGCAGCAACCCCTTTGCATCCATCTGCAACACGTGCATCACTACCGACCGTCCGATCGCGGACGGCCCCGCTGGGGCGATGATAAACCCTCCGTAGGTGAGATTGGCACGCACACAGCCCATGACAGGGGGGCATAGGGGGTGCTCCATGGATTGGTAAAGGACCACGTAGCAGCCGTCGCCTGTGCGCTGCCAGTAGCGCCGCAGGCACACGTCGCGCGCTGTGAGGGTGAAGGGGCCGAAGCCGACTGGGAGCGGTCGGAAGCGGTAGTGGATGCAGTCCGTGTGACCGTCTTGAGCTTCTACCATTCGTGCACCCCCGTATGCCACGTCCCACCTGGTAACAGAGAAGCACAGGAAGGGGGAGGGACAGGAGTGGATGCAGTCTGTGGGCTAGGTCTAGGGATGACTGGTAGTAGGCAGAAGCAGTAGTGAATGCAGTCTGTGTGGCCGTCTTGTGCCTCTACCATGCATGCACCACCATATGCCACGTCCCGCCTGGTGAGAGACGGCAAGAGAAGAAGGATTGGGACAGGGCAACGGGCAGAGGGCGGAATTGGTAGTGAATATAGTCAGTGTGGCCGTTGTTGTGGGAGGAGGAGAGGTCGAGCACGAGTCAGAAGACGACGGCATCGCTGGGAGCATTTTGAGTCGGACTCAAAATTTACCAGGAGATCAGCAGGGGCAACTTGCAACTTAGAAAAGTAGGAATTAGAGGCGTACTCGTTGCGCGAGGAGGAGAGGTCGAGCACGAGTCGGAAGACGGCGTCACTGGGAGCGTCCACTGTTCCCACGGCACTCAGACACGGCAGACTGCCACACATGCCCGCCTGCCCGCGCTCCTCGTTCAACTCCTCAAAGAAGCGCAGCCCTGGAAAGACAGGTGGACAGGCGATAAGAGGCAAACGGAGGCAGCAACAGGAGGTGAAGTGAATCAATGTGCGAAGTGCAAGGCGATCAAAGAGCCCTTTGCCTTGTGGAAGGCGATCAATGTGCGTAACACCCGTTCCCTGAAGGTTCTTCTCACATGAACCCTGACGAGCTCTTCATGGTGTTCATGTGAGGCGTAAACCTAGAGAGAGAGAGAGACCAGCGATACAAAGGTTGCTGAATGAACGGGTAAGGCTGCACACTGAGTTCCCATAGACCCACCGTTGGATAGCTTGATGAGGCGCCAGGAGCCGTCGGATGCGATCCCTGATGCTGTTGATGCACTGCGCATCGCCACCATGGCCTCCAGCATGCTGCCCAGCTCCATTGGGGGGCCTGGGGGGAAGGAGGATGAGAGTGCAGCACACAGAAAGGGAGGCATGCATGGCATCAAGCATGCTTCGATGTGTGCAATGCACTGCCCTGTCCTGCACTTCGCATCGCCACCATGGCTTCGAGAGCATGCCGCCCAGCTCCATGGGAGGCCCTAGTGTGAGGAAGAAACAACGGACGCATACGGGGGGCAGGCAAGCATGCTTCAATGCGTGCACCGCTCTGCCTTGCCTCCTCTAAGAGCATTCAATGCTGCAATGCCTCGAGCATTCCTCCCAGCTCCATGGGGGGCCTTGGGGGGTAGGAAGATGATTCGCAAGGGCAAAGGGAAAGGTTGGCAGCAGGCAGCATGGAACCACAGGGAAGCAGACCTACCGTAGTCAATGGAGCCTCGTCTGTCGAGCAGCACTCGCTGCGGTGTTGGCAAGTCGTGTTTTGAGGCCTCAGATGAAAGGCACTCCTACTACCAACCAATAAAGCCACTTCTAAGCACACCTACCAAAGCCAATGGAGCCTCGTCTGTCGAGCAGCACTCGCTGCGGTGTTGGCAAGTCGTCTGCTCCCATCTCGTCCCCGTCGAATGGCTCACTGCTGTCCATAGAGTCACGACAGCTGGTGGGGATAAATGGCGGGTGGAGGGGAGAATGGGAAGAGATGGAATGGAGGGTGGCTAAGTGGAAGGGAACGGACCTGCACGACGGACGTCCTCTCCCACCATCTCATCCCCGTCGAACGGCTCACTGCTGTCTATTCTGCTAGGTTATTGAAAATGGGTAACTTGCTGTCATAAGTAGTGCAGTGAGGCAAAAAATCAGGTGCTGCGCGTTGAGCACGTGAGGGGTGAGGTGAAAATTCGCATTGTTCCTTGAACAAAGTGACTTTTGAGTCGACTCAAAAGTCAACTCGCATTGTTCCTTGAACAGAGTGACTTTTGAGTCGACTCAAAAGTCAACTCGCATTGTTCCTTGAACAGAGTGACTTTTGAGTCGACTCAAAAGTCAACTCGCATTGTTCCTTGAACAGAGTGACTTTTGAGTCGACTCAAAAGTCAACTCGCATTGTTCCTTGAACAGAGTGACTTTTGAGTCGTCTCAAAAGTCAACTCGCATTGTTCCTTGAACAGAGTGACTTTTGAGTCGACTCAAAAGTCAACTCGCATTGTTCCTTGAACAGAGTGACTTTTGAGTCGACTCAAAAGTCAACTCGCATTGTTCCTTGAACAGAGTGACTTTTGAGTCGTCTCAAAAGTCAACTCGCATTGTTCCTTGAACAGAGTGACTTTTGAGTCGACTCAAAAGTCAACTCGCATTGTTCCTTGAACAAGACAGCGGTGCTGGTTCTGGATTAGAGTGCAGTGCATGCACGACATGGTGGGGTGCGGGTGAGAAATGGAATGCAGGACGACATGGTGGGGTGAGGTGGCGTGTGGGTGAGAGAGGGAACGCACGAGGACATGTTGGGGTGTGGGGGCGTTTCCCCCTCCTCCTCGTCCGATAGGCTGTTGGTGCTGGTGGGGCGAGTGAGCGGCATTCTGATAGTGGGCGCCACGTTCTGGTGTGGATGAGTGGGAGAACACCACGAGAGACGGGAAACGAGGGCGGGAAAGAGAAAAGAGGGGTGAGGGGGATGTTTCGAGAGCATGTAAAGCATCCGTCCTCGTCTGACAGGCTGTTGGTTGCTGGTGGAAGCAACTTCCTGATCGTTCATGTCATGTGCAGTGTGAGGGAGAGGACGAGAGGGCAGGAGGGAGGCGGAAGCAGGACACGAGCACAAGACCATGGGCGAGCAAGAAGAATTGGGAGAGAGGGGCAGCAAGGAGAGGGTGACCTGCGAGGAGGAGGCGATGGGGAAGCTGTTTCTGCCGGTCTCACAAGCACAATCACGTGATGCTAATGGATGATTTGCACCGCTCAATCTCCTACTGCTGCTGTGCTCACATGTTCTATTGTCTCCCGAATGGCTTGCATTGCATCCACACTGCCACTAGCTTTGAGGCGCCTCATTGAAGCATGTTATGCTATGCACCACAGAAATTTCTAATGCTGTGCTCACATCACACGCTCTACTGCCTGCTGTGCTCACATGCTCAATTGTCTCCCGGATGGCTTGCATCCACACCGCCACTAGCTTTGATTGAGGCGCCTCATAAATGCACACTATGCACCACCATAGCTCACATGTTCTATTGTCTCCCTGATCGCTTGCATCCACACCGCCACTAGCTCAGGGTCCTTGGTTCCCACCTGTAACAGGACAGGGGGCGGAATGGGCGCATAGGAGCATGGGAGGGGTGCAGAGGAGTACAGGAGGGGAAAGAGGAGAACGGGAAGGCAAAGAGGGCCAGAGGAGGGCACAGAAGAGCATTCAAGCAACAGTAGATGCATGCATGGATAGTGTCAAGTGGGAAAAAACGGATGATAGAGAGTGCATGGTCACCCATGAGCAAGGCAAAGAAAAGGAGCCATTCATCATGCTGTAAGGGAGTACACCCACCAGACACGGCTTGGGAAGCTCTGGGTGTATACAGAAGGTGTAGAGCTCCTGGCAATTGACAAGAAGAAACAGTAGAGTGTGCAGAAAACAGAGGAATGTCAGGAGCAGCCCTGATAGGGTCAGAGCTATTGAGGCACAAAGCTCCAGAATTTCATAAGCAGCGCAACCACAGGCAGCGCACAAGCAAGCAACACACAAACGTGTAGCACAGAAACAGGCAGTACAGGTGTGACCTTGGTGTTGGTGGAATCTACTTTTGAGGCGCCTCAAAAGCAAGCATCACACAAACGTGTAGCACAGAGACAGGCAGTGCAGGGGTGACCTTGGTGTTGGTGGAAATCCGGCCTGTGTCCTCCACACGACATCTGGGCGTGAGATCAAACTCCTTCACCGGAATCTGTGTGGCGTGTGTGGCAGGGAACAACAATGCGGGAGGGAAGGGGGGCGTTGAGGGGGAGGAGAGGGTGGGGACAAGGGGAGGGGGGAAGGGAGAGGGGAAATGGGGAGGGGGATAGTGGTTTGGGGAAAATGGTTGGGTTGGGGAAGGTGCTGCTTAGTCTTCCCAAGGGGGGCCAAGGGATGGTGCAGAGCGGTCAGCTCGTATCATCCCAGAAGCTATCCTCGCGAAAGTCATAACACTATCTTCCCACCGCGAGCGCACCTCGTGCTGCCACGGCAGGCTGCGGAAGTAGCTGATTTGCTGCGCGCGCAGCACGAAGTCTCTAGGTTTGAGACGACTCAGAACTCGTTACCCCATCCCATCCCCTCCCCCCCCTCTCCTCTTTCCCCCCCAGCGCGAGCGCACCTCGTGCTGCCACGGCAGGCTGCGGAAGTAGCTGACGCGCTGCGCGCGCAGCATGAAGTCTCTAGGTTTGAGACGCCTCAGAACTCGTTACCCCATACCATCCCCCTCCCCCCTCCCCCCCCCTCTCCACACTCCTCCATCGCGCACCTCGTGCTGCCAGGGCAGGCTGCGGAAGTAGCTGATGCGCTGCGCGCGCAGAACGAAGTAGCGCCGCGCCCAGTGGTGGCCGAACGGCCGCGACTTGGACTGCTTGTACAGCCACCCCATCAGCTTCACCTCCCGCGACATCTGCTCGATCGCTGACGTGGACAACCCGCCGCTGGGTCTCCGCCGGGTCCTGCGGAATGAGATAGGTGCGAGGTGAGGTGAGGAAAAGCGGTTCGGATTTCTAGTGTTGAGACTGCTTGTACAGCCATCCCATCAGCTTCCCTTTCCACGGCATCTGCTCGATCGCTGACGTAGACAAACCGTCGCTGGGTCTCCGCCGGGTCCTGCGGGAACAGATAGGTGCGACGGTGGAGGGGAGGCTTGTTAGAGTGTGGGACCTGGTTAAACTTTCTCAACGCTTCATCTCCCGTGAAATCTGCTCGATCACTGATGTGAACAGCCCGCTGCTCGGTCGCCATTGGTTCCTGAGGAAACAGATTGGTGTGGAGATGGAAGGTTGCTGAAATGCAATATCTGATATAATCCACCCCCAGCTTCATCTCCCATGATATCTGCTCGATCGCTGACGTGAACAGGCCGCTGCTAGGTCTCCGTTAACGTCTGAGGAAACAGAAAGGTGGGTGAATAAGAAGCTTGTCTAATGGTTCCCTCTGATAACCCTAGTTACTGATTATCGATCCGGGAAATTGCAGAGGATTGCAAACCAGAATGGATAATTCGATTCCGCATAAATGCCTAACTCGCAAAAGCTTCTCCAATCCCCCTTTCGGGTCTGTTCAATTATCACCTTCGGTCGGACCCCGGCTCTGACTCGCCGCGAGGGAGTGATGAGCTCCTCGCCCTCTCCTCCCCATTTCCCGGTGTCGATTCTAGGCTCGCCATCGTCGCCCCTGTACAATCCGTAATGAGTCCTTTATACCCGAGGTCGTATTACAAGCCTCGCGATCTTTCTGATTGGAGCTATCATGTCAACGAGACGTCAGGAACCTGGTCTGGGCTCACTGCGGACCAGATTTCGACAGGCGAAGAGATGATTTTAAAACCCAGGGTCCACAGGTTTCAAAGGTAGGAAGGTTGGTTGGACTTAGTGACAAAACCAAAGGTAGGAAGCTTGGTTGGACTTTGTGACCCAACCAAAGTTAGGAAGGATGAGGCAACTTCGGGATACTTGAGACTCCGGTTTTAAGAGCCCGTATGGAGAGGATATATTTTAGGGCTTGCAGCGGTCGGAACAGAATCAAGTGATACTTGGGAGAGGACAGACTAACCGCTCCGGAACGTCGATACCTTCGTATTGCAACTACGATGCCGTTAGCTGACTGAAGTCTGGGCCTCGATAACAGACCAAGTCTAGGCGGGAGCTACAAAAAAAAAAAGCCTTCGGTTCAGTACGGTGCTGGACGATTTGAAATTATTATCTGGACGTCTGAAGCGGTTGTGATGGACCAAATGAAACATTTGGGATCGCACACCCAAAAAGTGCACAGGGAGCTCCACAATTGTGGGACAGGGCGGGTCACAGCGGCGACGATCCCGAGATGGAGACTCTTGCCTTGAACCAGATCGAATGGCTGGAATTCATCAGATGGGTGGAGTTCCTTAGGCGCACAGAGTAATGGCTCCTGCTTCGGTTTCGTGAATTGTGAATTGGGTGCTTCCTGCACTTGGCTGGTCACAGAAATAATTGTCGGTGACTCGGCAAAGTCAAACTGGTTCTGTTCAGGAGGATAGTTGTCCGGTTAACTCGTGAAGGTAGAAAGCACAAGGAGTTTAACATCGCTAGAAAAAGCTTAGCAGTTTGGTGTACAAAAGGCGCAAGCACTCCTCTTTTCCTTCTTCAACGGCGACACGATTCAACTCTGAGTTCCCTTCTGCGTTTAGGGTTAGTGAACTCTGAAACCCTCGCACTTATGGACGTTCACGATATTTCCCTCGCCATGCAGGCTTCACTTCAGCTCGGAACCGCGTTTCTGGTCCTCCACGTCTGCAAGTTGCAGCCATTAAAGGCGCCAAAGTTGCCTCGTAGAGGAAGTGGCACAGCCACTAGTATCAGCATTAATAAATATATAACGTACAGCGCAGTTCACTTAGAAAGCTTCAGGTGGAGAGTTGGACAAAGAGAGTCCTAATTTCCATAGGCCCGAGTTCCACAATATAAGTGGAATTATCAATGTCACGGCCTGTTATAGCCTCCACATCCACACCTCCTTCACTTTCATCGAGCTGCCACGTTAAAGGGGGTCGCATGCTTGAGCGTTCTTGGTTTGCCATGAGACTTAGCTCAGTCACCTTCAGAACCTGGGGTAGAGACAACAAGAAAAACAACACAATGGTACGATGGTTGCATGTTGTGAAGATAAAGAACACAGACGAGGGTGACGTGTAAATCGTACAACAATGACATTACACTCGCGAATGGAAAATGGCAAGTCCTTTACCACAGCAAGGCAGCCCACCTCTCGACCGGCAAAGAGCTGCCGGAGTTTCACTGCTGCGAGCCGAGAAAACACTGGGTGCTCTTGAGCCTGTGGGAGTAAGTTGTATGTTCGCCAGGAGGGAGAGAGCGGGGAGGGAGTGTGGATGTGAAGGGTGAGGAAGCAAGAGAGGTTGGAGGGGGGATGACTCGCCTTGCAAAGGCACTAACATTATAACACAATCGAATATTCAGGATGTGTATCAGCGAGGGCTGACTGAAGTGCCACATGGTATGCTCCTAGAGTACCCTTCACATACCTCGTACAGGTGAGCCAGTCGCAGGAGAATTGCTCCTGGTGATACCTCCTGTTGGACGAACACGTGGGCGGCGAAGATGGGAGCAGGACAAAAACACACACAAACACACAAACAGAACTGTAACATACACGTGTATTGGGAGCGAGCTAGGAACAGCATGGACGGAAGGATATAAATTCTGGCAGAGGATGTCTACTGGATATTATTAGCAACTTAAGCTATTATTCTCATCAAGTGTACCTCCAATGTCGTTATAGCCACATTTCGAGGCAGCTGGTAGCTAGCTGAGGGTGCTGCCGCCTTCCCTCTGGTGCTGCCACGTGTCCCTGCCCTTGCCACCTCCTGCTGAGCGCTCTGGAAGAGGGAGTGGCGCCACAAGAACCCCGTCGCTCCTGTGCTGTCAGCAGCAGGTTCAGCAGATGTGCCAGAAACGTCGGTTGCAGCAGGGTCTGGAGTGTCAGCTGCAGCAGTGGCAGCAGCAGCTGCTGCTTCTGCTGCCTCTGCTGCGTCCGCTGCTTCTGTTTCTGCTGCTGCCAGATCCTCAGTCGACTGAAGAGACGAAGGAAATTGAGAAGAGAGAAGAAGCGCATGAGGAGGGAGTGTGGAGGAGAGCAACAGGCAGAGGAGGTGGACACAGCAGTAAGTGAGTGTGAACCCTCCGCCCTCACCTCCCTCCCACTGCATACGCTGCCCTGCACACACACACACACACACACACACACACACACACACACACACACACACACACACACACACACACACACACACATCCCCCCTTCTCCCCTATCCCTTGCCCTCCCCTTCCCAACCACACAAACCTCAATCTCTCACCTAGACAGAGAAAACGCTGCAGGGGAGAGAGCAGGCACTGAGTGTGGTCGCCTGATGCCTGCTGTGACATGTGAGTCAACTCAGAAGCCATCCCTCACCTCCTTTGAGTCGACTCAGAAGAGATCTCTCACCTGTTTTCGAGTGGACTAACAGCCCATTTCTCACCTCGACAGCGAAAGCTAGCTGCAGAGGGGACAGCATCCGCTGGCTGTGGTCTCTCAACCAGAAGGCCCCCGCTGCCGCCCCGCCTGATACTTGCTGCGACCTTTGAGCCAACTCAGGAGTCATTGCTCACCTCGACAGCAAAAGCGAGCTGCAGCGGGGACAGCATCCTCTGGGAGTGATCTCTCCGCCAGAAGGCCCCTGCTGCTGCCCCGCCTGATGCCTGCTGTGGGGGTGTGCCTGGCCGTGCCCGTGTGTCTGGCAGCACTGCGAAGCGGAGTGATCCCACCACCTGGACGCCCAAGGGAGGGAAGTGACTTGGGCTCCGGTTTACAGGCAAAGAAACAATGTTGACTCGACTCAAAAGGTGACCATCACCGCGAAAGGTGACCTCAAAAAGAGAGAACGATGTCGATCAGCGTCCAATGTTCAGAATTTGCGCTTAAATGCCAATTGATTTTTTGTTATATAGGCGCATTAGAACTTACGACAAGGTGGTAGCATTTATCCTCCACACAGACATCTTCGTTTAACGGCTCTCCAACTCCCTTGTTGTCCACCGTATCCAAGCGGCTGGAAATTTGGATAGCGGGATAAAAATATATATATTTAAAAACGACAAGCATTACAAAAGTTGCACGTATCACAGCAGAGGCCATTTTGACTGCAATTTAAACAGTTGACCCAGGCTGAAAATCAGGCCTCTGCTACAGGCGCTTAACCTTGCAGCATGAGTTGGGGACCTACGCTGAAACAATGCCGCTAGTACGCCGATACTTCAGGGGCTCACCGGTGCAGCGTGAAGCTCACCGGTGCAGCGTGAAGCTCACCGGTTTGCAGCGTGAAGCTCATCAGTGCGGTGTGAAGATCACAGGTGCAGCATGAGTTGAGTTGTAGGCTCACCGGTGCAGCATGAGTTGAGTTGTAGGCTCACCGATGCAGCATGACTTCGAGCTGTCCGGCTGCCAGGCTGGCAGCACCGGCTGCTCGGTCCACCAGCAGCGACAGCTGTGCCTCGCCATCCCCGATGAACGCGCCCACCGTCACCTGCGGGAGGGATGGGGGTGATGGATGGGAGAGGGGTGGGAATGAGGGTGAGAGAGGGGCGGGAGTGAGGGGTGGGAGTGAGGGGTGGGAGAGGGGGGAGAGTGAGGAAGCAATAAGGACTTCTGATGTGCCTTGGGGGAGAAGATGCAATAAGAACTCACTGGGTAGAAGTTCCCTGCTATGGGGTCTTTGACTGAGCAGAATTTGGAGCTCAATACTGGCGTGAGTTGTTTGAGAGAGGACCTTACTTCTGAGCATTTGTGTAAGTGAGTTACTCACGGGGTAGAAGTTCCCTGCTATGGGCTCCTTGACTGTGAGGGTCCAGTCAGGGCGAGAGTCACGAACCTGCAGGACAGCACGGTAGGTGGGAGCGAAGTGAGAAGAGGTGTAGGGGGCGGGAGAGGTGTAGGGAGGGGGAGAGGTGTAGGGAGGGGGAGTGATGGGCAAACGGCAGAGAGCAGGTCAGGGGAGAGCCAAAACCAAGAGGATGATACTCTTTTAGAAGAGAAGTGAACAAGAGGCTGTACAAGCTACAGAGGAAAGGCATACTTTGATATATTTGACCTGTTCATATCCTACCAATCCGCTCTATGATATATCCTCCATATAAGCTCACTCGTTTGAGGTAGTCACGGCCGTTGGAGTCCGTGTGAAAGATATCGCCGCTCTGAATGGAAGAGGAGAAAGAGGCAACGACCTCTTTCCCCAGGGACCCATCCTCAACGAGGGGGCCTATGGAGTAGCCAAGCTCGGCGTAATTCTCCCCCGGGTAAACTCGATACACCTGCAGGGGAGACACGACACAAAGTGAAAAAGGTATGACGCGAGCACCCAAGTTCCATTTAGTTCTTTCTAGACTAGGTATGATGCATACGCAAGGAAGACGACATATCAGTCGGTTAAGAGGCACTCAGAGACGCACACCCCCAATCCAAGGAACTCAAGCCCTCCGCAATCCTTCCCCGGACACCCCCCGTGTATCTGCAGAAACGGCAAGACATTGGACTGGTGAAGAATACACGAAAACAATCCCAGAGCACCCGAGCCGAGCGGTGCACAGTTCTCTCTAGAGAACCTCGGAGCCAGAGCACCTTAGAGGCAGAGAACCTTAGAGGCAGAGAACCTTAGAGGCAGAGCACCTTAGAGGCAGAGCACCTTAGAGGCAGAGCACCTTAGAGGCAGAGCACCTTAGAGGCAGAGCACCTTAGAGGCAGAGCACGTCTATTCACCGCATCGCCTCACCTCGGACACGTCACGCGCCACCTGGCGGTGAAACTCCTCCACGATGGGCCCTCGCAGCACGCGGATCGGCACCCTCTGCTTCCTGCGGAACGGCAGCGCACCGTCTGCTGTGGGCTTGAAGATGTATGCTCCTGACTGGAGGGGTGGGGTGGGGGGGAGAGTAGGGGATGCAAAAACAGGGGGGTGTTGAAATATGTGCAGAGTGGATTGTGATGGGGACTGGAAATAAGAGGTGAGGAGAAAGTAAGGAGGTGCAAGTGATGTGATAAACAGAAGGCGGATAGCAGGAAAGTGAGGGAACAGTGGCATGCATGCAACAGCAGGAATTAACACGGAAAATGAGGCATGAGCGCATAGGAGGTGGGGGGCAACTGAGGTGGAGGAGGTGGGCGGGCAACTGACAAGTGACAACTGACAACGGACAACTGAAAACGGACAAGTGGAGGGGGACAACTGACCTCTGCAGATGAGTAAAAGAGCATTTCGCTGCTGATGTTGGCTGCTGCTAGCTGATAGCACCGCAGCATCAACCGGGGCATAGGAAAGCAAAGGAGAGAGGGCACAGGGAGAAGAAAAACAATGTATTGCCGGCAAGAGTGAAAGTTGCAACACATTGGATTCTAAAGTTGCAATGGCATGTCACATGGAAGGGGCATCGCAGGTGGAAGGGGCATGGCACATGTAAGGGGCATGGCACATGTAAGGGGCATGGCACATGTAAGGGGCATGGCACATGTAAGGGGCATGGCACAAGGAAAGACATGGCACAAGGAATGACATGGCACAAGGAAAGACATGGCACAAGGAATGACATGGCACAAGGAATGACATGGCACAAGGAATTACATGGCACAAGGAATGACATGGCACAAGGAATGACATGGCACAAGGAATGACATGGCACAAGGAATGTCATGGCACAAGGAATGACATGGCACAAAGAATGACATGGCACAAGGAATGACATGGCACAAGGAATGACATGGCACAAGGAATGACATGGCACAAGGAATGACATGGCACAAGGAATGACATGGCACAAGGAATGACATGGCACAAGGAATGACATGGCACAAGGAATGACATGGCACAAGGAATGACATGGCACAAGGAATGACATGGCACAAGGAATGACATGGCACAAGGAATGACATGGCACACAATACCGTGGCAAAGGCCTTGCCATTCGGCTTGATGAGCTCAGCACGTGTCATTCCACGAGCAGCCTTGGAGAAATAGACACGCGCTGCCGGCCGACCAGCCACCACCCCCCCAAGAACTATCTCATCCTCCTGACCCACACCATCACCCACCTCCTCCTCCTCCTCCTCTCCCTCCCCCGCCTCCCCTCCTTCCTCCCCTCCAGCATAGCCCTCCTCCCCTTTTGCCTCAACCCCTTCCTCCTGCCCCTCCTCATACCCTTCCTCTTCTGCCTCCCCTTCCTCCCCTCCCTCCCCTCCTTCCGCTCCCTCCTCATAGTCATCCTTCTTTGCCTTCTTCTTTTTCTTCTTCCCCTTCTTGCTCCTCGTGTTCCGTCCCCTCTGCTTCTTTGGTCCCAAGATCCAGTCACTGCTGCTCACTGCTGCCCCCACAGCTCCTGAAAAGGGGAGAATTTGAGAGAAGCATTGTAACAAGAGGTGAGAGGTTCAGAAATCAAAGATACCCACCTCTGAGAAAGCTCAGCGAATGCCATACCTGGCTGGGCTGCAATGAGGAACAAAGTGGAATACCACAGCACGGAACACCACTGATATCACCCCCTGTTGCTTCTCGGGAGGAGGTGCGCTGGCGCCTGCATGCGGTTCTGCGTAGACCGCACAGATGACCCACTCTTCACAAAAAAAAAAAAAAAAAAGTCAAACCTGGCTGGGCTGCAGTGAGGAAGAATGTGGAGTAGCCCAAAGGAGGCACCTCAGCACGGAACACCACTGACATCACCCCCTGCTGCTGCTCCACTGGAGGCACACTGGCGCCTGCATGTGCTGCTGCGTAGAACGCGCGGATGACTGGACGAGGGAGGAGCTCTGGGATGAGCTGTGATGGGATGGGCTGGTGTGTTGAGTCTGTGACAATGACCGAGGGAGCGGAGACCTGATGGCAGGGGGTGGTGGGTAGGGCGACAGGAGGGAGAGGGAAGAGTGGTGGGGAGAAGGGGAGAGCGGCAGGAGGGGGGAGAAAGGGAGAGCGGCAGGAGAGGGGAGTAAGGGAGAGCGGAAGGAGGGGGAAGAAAGGAAGAATGGAGGGGAGGGGGGCATGCTTGGGTCAGCAGTGGATGGTTGCATGAAGGAAAAAGTGAGGGATGAGGTGTAATAGCACAGAATGGTGGGTACAGTTGGTGGGGATGATAGAGGGAGTGGAGTGGAGAGCAGAGACCGGATGGCGGGAGGGCGGGAGGAAGGAGGCGGTGCTGAAAGAAGGAGACCAGGGGGGATGTGGGATGGGAGGGGGAGGGGAAGAGAATGATACTGGGAACGGGTGGGAGGGTGCGAGGACCAGTGGAGCACATAGTGAGTTAAAATTCGAAAGCAGGTGATTTGCGGAAATCAGAGCAAAAACAGGTAAGGGCTCATTGCTTGAATATCACCTGCTGAAACCCAAAAGGATGCTGGAGAGAGGAGCTTACTGGAATGCGGATGACTTCAGTGCGGGCCCAGGCAAGAGAATTGAAGGCTACAACTACCTGATCCAAGGGAGGGATGGAGGGGAGTGGTTTTGGGATGGGACGAGCGGTGATGGGATGGCATGGCATGGCAGTGCGCTGTCAGCTGAATGAGCATCTGCTGGTGAAGCAGAGTTAACAGTCACAATCCTCCTAATGAACAACACGCCACATGCACAACGCACCAGAAGACGTGGTGGGACTCACCAGAGGGTCAATTAGCTAGGGGGTCAACTTACAACGGGTCCAAGTTACCAGGAAGATTGACTGATTGAGGACTCACCAGCATCTTGCCGGGTGCAAGACCAGACTGCGATGGAGGGCAGAAGGAGATGTTCAGCAGAGGGCACTGCAGGGAGGACGCGAGGGGGAGAGAAGGACGAGGGGCTTCTGAGAATTCTCAAAAGTGACTCTCCGTGATCAAAGCCAGAATGCGATGGAGGGCCGAAGGAGATGTTCAGCAGAGGGTACTGCAGGGAGGACGCGAGGGGGAGAGAAGGACGAGGGGCTTCTGAGAATTCTCAAAAGTGACTCTTTTTTATCAAAGCCAGAATGCGATGGAGGGCAGAAGGAGATGTTCAGCAGAGGGCACTGCAGGGAGCAGGAAGGGAGTAGGAAGGGGAATTCTCTGTTGAAACATGCACAAGTTTAAAGCGGAAGTTTCCAGACACACAAGTTTAAAGCGGAAGTTTCCAGACACACAAGTTTAAAGCGGAAGTTTCCAGACACACAAGTTTAAAGCGGAAGTTTCCAGACACACAAGTTTAAAGCGGAAGTTTCCAGACACACAAGTTTAAAGCGGAAGTTTCCAGACACACAAGTTTAAAGCGGAAGTTTCCAGACACACAAGTTTAAAGCGGAAGTTTCCAGACACACAAGTTTAAAGCGGAAGTTTCCAGACATCTGGGAGAGATGACAAGGAAAACAGTCCCATCAAGGGTGTAAGAGCTGCTGAAAACATGCAGCTCTTCATCAAGAAATAGGCTCTTCACCATACCAATCTCTTCTATCACCAATCTCTTCTATCACCAATCTCTTCCATCACCAATCTCTTCCATCACCAATCTCTGCCATCACCAATCTCTTCCATCACCAATCTCTTCCATCACCAATCTCTTCTATCACCAATCCTCCCACCAACCACACTTCAATCCCCACTCACCGTCTCGAGCAGCAGCTTCGGCTTCTCCTGCAGCCGCCTCCCCCTGTTGATACCTTCCTCCTGCAATGAGCCCTGTGTTTCAAGAGGAGCTCGATGTGGTGTTGCGCTGGTGTTTGCAGGCACAGCCGCATCTGGGGCAGCAGGCTCGTCACCACCAGCAGCAGTATCCGCACCAGCAGTGGCAGGTTCCTGGGGAGTGACACTAGGAGCAGTGGCAGCGGCGGCGGCGGCTGCGGCGGTGGCAGCAGCACCGGTGCCAGCTGCAGCAGGTCTATTGGCGGGAGTGGCAGCAGGCGCCGCACGGTTGGGACCTGGTGCAGAGGAGTTGGTGCCGGTGGGAGGCGAGGGAGGAAGAGGAGGCGGCGGGTGCAGAATGAGGTATGCCAGAGCGCTGGTGAGAACAGTGGAGGCCTGGCGTGGGGAGAGGAGGGCAGGTGAGGGAAAAACAGAGTCAGAGCTTCAGGCTGGGGAAAAGAGGAGGAACAGGAGAAACAAGGTGGGGGAACAAGTGAGGGAAAACTGTGGAAAAGGGGTTCAGGGATATGCATAGTGTGCGATTCCTTGGTCTGAGTGCGCTTACCACCAAACAACCTCCCAGTTCCTCACCTCCTGTGCTGCTCTGTCATCTCAGCCCCCTTCTCCCACTCCTTCCAACACCTCCAACCTCCCAGTTTCTCACCTCCTGTGCTGCTCGGTGCAGGCGGAGTGTGTAGTCGTCATTCACGTGCTGCTGGGCCGTGCCTGTGATGGCATCGTGGTGCTGTACTACTGCCACTGCCTCCCCCAGCAATGCTGTCGACGCGGCCTGAGCCTCCCGACTCCCAGCACCAGTAACACCACCATTACTATCCCCACCACCACCACCACCGGCACCAGTAGCAGCAGCAGACCCGTATCCTGCACCAGCATTGCTGTCACCGCCGCCACTCCCACCCTCTCCAGTTGCCACACTAGGCGCCTCCGAGGGATGGAAACTCATGACCATCATTCGGCCAGCGCCAGAGCCCACAAGGTTCATCCCGTCAGTGTCGCCTCCCCATGCTTGCAGGGACTCTCGCCCCACTGCTGCTTCGAGAATGCTTGCTGCCAGCAGCAGTGTGCTGCAGGAGCGCACGTAGCGCTTGAAGGCTGGGCGGGAGGAGTAGAAGCCGGTCCAGTAGGCGTGCGGTGCGTCAGCGTAGCTGCATGGGAGTGGAGGAAAGAACGGGAGGTGGGGGAGAAAAGGATGCGAAGGAGGAGGCGGACGAGTCTCATCAGCATGCTGCGTTGCGTCAAGAGCAGGCTGCAATAGCATCAGCATTGCGGTGCAACTCACGGGAAGAAGTCGCCAGTCTTGACCGGCCAGGTCTCCTCAGCTTGCTGCTTGGCGTCCAGATAGATTGAAGGCGTGGAGTAGAGGGCGTTGACCCGACCGTCCTGGCAGGGGTGAGGGGGTGGATGAACATACGTTGCACACGTTGCACGAGAGGATGGGCCTTTTTGAGTTGAATCAAGCCCCTCACAGCCCCCCCAAAAGGCGTCGACTCCCCTCACAGCCCCCCCAAAAGGCGTCGACTCCCCTCACAGCCCCCCCAAAAGGCGTCGACTCCCCTCACAGCCCCCCCAAAAAGCGTCGACTCCCCTCACAGCCCCCCCAAAAAGCGTCGACTCCCCTCACAGCCCCCCCAAAAAGCGCCGAATCCCCTCACAGCCCCCCCAAAAAGCGTCGACTCCCCTCACAGCCCCCCCAAAAAGCGTCGACTACCCTCACAGCCCCCCCAAAAAGCGTCGACTCCCCTCACAGCCCCCCCAAAAAGCGTCGACTACCCTCACAGCCCCCCCAAAAAGCGTCGACTCCCCTCACAGCCCCTCCAAAAAGCGTCGACTCCCCTCACAGCCCCCCCAAAAAGCGTCGACCACATGGAGCGATACCATACATACCATACCACGTCGCACCACACCACACCATGCCACACCGTGCCACGCCGACTGACCAGGTTGACGTAGTGAATGAGCTTGTCCATGTTCTTGAACCACATGATGGCGTTGGAGTAGGCAAAGTCCTTCCCCATGGTGAACATCACGTGGTTCGACCGTGTCACCTTCGCCTATTACAGCCAAGACAGGGGGTAAGAGCGGCAGAGACACAAGGAAGGAGGGCAGTTCGACAAGGGTTTCACAGGATGGCGTTGGATTAGGCAAAGTCCTTCCCCATGGTGAACATCACGTGGTTCGCCCGCATCACGTTTGCCTGCACAGGAGGGGTGCAGATAGGAACCGGGAAGAAGCACATTCTGACAAGGGCTGTCCTGTTGCTGCTATGAGGATTGATATAGTTGGTTGGAACAAGCATGGACAAGTCTATCAAGGATGCACATGCGCAGTGCAGCATCTGACAGGAGTCGCTTTATGCACGAGCATCAGTCATACCTGCTCCCAAGCTCGCTGAACGAACAGGTCGACAAGCTTCCGGACGTTTGACTCCCCTGATTGCGGATCATCCTGTAACGAGGATATAGGAGGTCCAGGAAGGGACCAAAGCTTAGAGCTGGCGGACAGGATCATCACACGAGGATTTTGCTGTTGCCGAAGTGCAGGAGAAATTGGGGAAACTGAAAGAAAGGCGTGTTAGCATGTGCCTTTGCCTGACACGTGCCCCACACATACCCCATACATTCCCCACACATGCCCCACACATGCCCGGCATGTGCTCTGTCTTACCTGGACAAAAGGTGGGAAATTTATGTCCTCACAATCAAGCCCAGGGGGGGGATCATACATCCAGTAGAGGTGCCCACCAAACACCTGGTCAAGACAGACGGGTTGTAAAACATTTCAGGAGAAGATCGCAAGCTCAAGAGGAATATGGTGTGACAACAGCAGGCCCTGCAAGGATGTGACGTAAACCCCGAGTTTACAAGGGAGTGCTAACCTGGGCCGATTTCCCAAATGTTTTAGACGCACGCCACACAAACTCTTCCTTCTTTTCTTGTTGCCGATTGGCCACGTCTTGGTAGTCTGCCCGCGAGAAAAATATCCCATCAAACCCAGCCTGCTCAAATGCGAGGATCAACAGTATACGGGCACAAACAGCAGGATAAAAACATGGGGGAAGGGTGTGAATTGAAGGAAGGAAGGGTGGGGAGAGGGCGGAATTGGGTTGACGGGGAAACGGCGTTTGCAGAGGGGGAGGGTGGTATCAAGGGGTAGCACATGAACAGCGATCATGCCACATGGGTAGACCATGTAACCTCTTTCCCCATCCCCCTTCTTACCTGCGCAGTGATGAGACTGGCTTGAGTTGCCGAGTGGCCGAAGGGGTCAATCTGCCATGCGATGCGCGGCGTGACGTTGAACTCGGAGCGGAAAAGCGCAGCCCGAGAGACATCTGGTGGATCACATGTGATTCTATGTACCCCATTCCCCTTCTCACCTGTGCAGTGATGAGACTGGCTTGGGTTGCCGAGTGGCCGAACGGGTCAATTTGCCATGCAACGCGCGGCGTGACGTTGAACTCGGAGCGGAGGAAGCGCAGCCCCAGAGACATCTGGTGGACCATGTCGGTGTAGTGTGTGGTGGCCTCGTCGTGCATCACCCACCCTCCGTTGCTGCGCTCACGAGGCAAGTGAGGGCATGGGAGGGGGAAGTGGGGGAGGGGAGAGGAGAGGATGAGGCGCAGCCCCAGAGACATCTGGTGGACCATATCGGTGTAGTGGCCTCGTCATGCATCACCCACCCTCCATTGCTGTCACGTAGGTGGGAGAAAAACGATGGTCGGTGGACACGTTTCTGACGACTTGGACAAAAGAAGCATGCGTCAAGTGAGTGGTAATGAGTGAAATCCTTTTCTTGTCCATTGATCATGATTGCTAGTGTATCCCTGAGGAGCATAATAGGTAGGCTGAACCAGTTATTGATGGCAATGGCAGGAAAGAAGTCTTATAAGGATAGCAACATGGATGAGGCTCAATGGCGTACACGAATTCGAGTTGACCTGACGCAACCAGAGCATGCACTCTCTTGCGCATGTCCTCTTTCTGTTGCTGCCACCATCGATAAAAGAAGGCCTGGAAGGAACGCAGGGAGGGAGAGTTGAAAAAGAGATCTGGTTCACCTCAGATTGAAATCACATGGCTAGTCTGGAGTTGATGACATGGTAGTTTGAATTTGCGACAATTTTTTCAGCCTGAGATGGATGGTTAGCCTTGAATCACACTGACAGCGTTAGTTGAATATCCAAACGACGTGTTTCTCCTGAGATAAATGAACGCGGTTAGTCTGACACAGTATGAAACGTTACACCTGAGTTGAAACTGACATGGTTAGCATTACCAAAAAACACACGGTTGGTTTCCAACGCTGGCCAGCTCTCACCTGCTCCACCTGGATGAATTTGCGGTCAGGGTTTGCCTCGAGTTGGTCGATGACAGTCTCGATAATGTACTGTACTGATGAAACCTGGACACGTTTCACAAGCAGAAATTTAGAATAGACATGATCATGCATTAGCATACCAATCCGAAAGTAAAAGATGGTGACCCATTCTGAAGATTGTTGTCAAAAGAGCAGGTTCAGGGGAGTTTTGGGGCCTTCTTGAAGATAAACTCACGTAGTACTTGTCAATGGTGCTCGTCCATCCCAAGTCATCATGCGAATGTGCTACCAGATGCACGTTGAGCTTGCTTTCTACAGGTTCTGCGTCCGTGTTGTAACGAATCTCGTCAGTAGCAGCGCCGATCGAAGCAGAAGAGGCCAGCCAATCAGGATTGCCCACGTGTTGCGAGACGGATTGGTTGGCTGAATTCATATAAGCAAAGAGAGACGAAGAGACGTTGGGGAACGAAATGTTCCCTCCCGTCATGATCTGCTGAATTGTCAACAGCGCAGCGCCTGCCAGAATCCCTATCACGAAAGGCAGTGCGGCCGAGGCCGTACGACTTAGAGACATGGCAGGCTATTGATAACAGCCTCGTATGGCAGCTTCAGTTACTAGACCACGCAAGACAGCAGCTAAGCTTCCGTTGGAACAACTACGGTGCAGGATAGACCATCACGCCATGGACCCTGCACAAACAGCTGAAAGCTTCACGGTCATAGCGTTCGAACCATGATGGTCATAAACTAGCTCGAGCAACCGTGAATCTCGGGAGTGCTACGACAATGTTCATCAGCCGGAATGGCTTGGTGCTGGAAAAATGGTCTGTGTCCCACCTCCGTCAGTGGCCAACCAAATTGCTCGACACAATCGAGGGCATGAATAGTTACGCAACACTGTACTATTGTGCCTCAGCACCATGAATGTTTCTTCACATCAAGTAAACTCTAATCTTACAATAGCTATTGCTTGGCTGGCTTCATTCATGTCAAAATTGCCCAGTGTGCAAAGTTATGAACTTGAATCTCTAGGAGTATCGAATGCTAATAAAAAGCGTGATTCATGTTCCCGTTTTGCTGTCATGATTTTCATTGTACCCTAAAGGCAATGCTGTATGGATAAGCACAGCATAGGGGCCGCTTTTATGTATGTGGAAGGCGATAGCGTTTTAAACTGTACAGAGTAACTCAATGCGTGCAAACTTTTCACCCTTGAGGAGAGTGTGGGCAAACTGTAGGGTGGCAGATCCTCCCAACACGTGATTGGCTCCCGTTTGGTCGAATCTCTTCCTTCCAAACCACAGGCGCGACAGCCAACTGAACAGCAGCATCTGATTCGCTTCCCCGACAAACGAATAGGACCCAAACAACCGGAGACAGTACGGTTCAGCGAGCTTCTATGCGGTGTGGAAAGCGAAACACACAGAAAAATGGATAAGGAAAGAAGCAGCGTGGATGACTTGTGTAGATTCAGACGACGACCCACCGATTTCCTCCACAGATTCTGTGGTAGTTGGATACCTAATTAGCTGCCGAGCAGGTCTAAACTTGGCAATACTGGGCATTTGTCCAGTCTGCTTTTGAGTCATGTTTCCGCGGAAGGGCCATGTGATACTGAGCTGTATCGGCTTGTCCGCTCTCTCACGTCAGGCGGTGTTAGTTACGTGTGTCCCAGTAGTGGCCTCAGTTGCTTCTTCAGTCTCTTCCAGAAGCATCAGCGATCTAATCACCCAAACTTCCATGACGTCAAGCATCACGTGACGCGACTAGGCTCATGACGTCAAGCACGCGCTCCGGGGCGCTGCTGGTCACGAACCAGCCGGTTTCAAGTCTGAACCGTCGTCTGTCGGTGCTAGTACAGTTTGCGCAATTTGTGGTTTTAAATTCGCCATTTATCATGGCGGGAATATCATCAAGCACAATGATTCGCCCCGGCGGAGAAGCCACTGTGCATGCTGCAACACCATCCAGGACCTCAGGTCTTCAGACCCCCACCCACAGGTTCAGTTTCAGATAGTTTCATGCCCCATTTTGTGGCTCCTAGAAATGCTAACAGTCGGTCTTTGGGTTGGCAATCTCGATTCCGCTTCATTTCCTCATGATCTAGCAACAGACTGAGCTAATCAGGCATTCGCGCCGAACACGGAACTCAAATCACCCACTGCATTAACTCGGAACTCGTTAGTAAAGATCCGTGACAGTGGCCTTTGCTTCCCCTCCGCGTGACCCACTGCGTCAGCCATTCAAGATGATGCGCCTCTGCCTCCCCTCCGCGTTCCTGCGCCTCGCGGACGAGCACGATTTGGAGAACCAGGCAGTCCCCAGTCACTTCCCCAGAGCGCCTCGTTGACCCCTCCCACTCGCTTCCCTTGAACGACGATCTCTCTTGTCCTCAAGGCGCCAAATTCCCTGGGTTAGCGGCAGCAGCGCCGCTCAAAGACACGCTTTCATCATCAAGAGACGCGTGTGATCTACTGACTGCTGCTGCTGCTGAGCAAAATGCTGCTGAGAGGAATGCTACAGGGTGGGCTGATCGTGCTTCTCTGGAAGCAGGCCGAGCATCTCTGGACGCGCAGCAGGGAATGAGCCGCTTGCCACCACGCCCCGGAGGCAGCGGCCGAGTCTCCCTGGAGGAATCGTGCTGCGGCCGCTCCTACCGCTGCGACAACATGTGCTTCCGAGGCTTGGAGGCGTTTCCGGGAGAGCCCACACGACGATCTGATGCCGCCTCTCCACGCCACTCTGCGCTCAAGAAGCCCCTGGAAAGGAAGCCATCAGGCAGCATTCCGCGGGTCATGAGCGACTTTGATCCGATCTCTTCGCGTCATTCTGACCCGGGTCACATTTGTGGCGAATCTGATCGGTATCGATCCCGGGGAAGGACTTGGGGCTCTGCTCGGGACACTGCTTACAGCCAGTCGGCCAGTTTTGCCAATTTGGGTTCTTTGAGCGCCACAGGCAGTTTCTCGGAAACGCGTGATTCAAATCACCGCTGCGCGTCAGGTTTGAGCCTCGGCACTCGCTTGCAAAGCAGCCACAGGCACTCCTTGGGAGCGGCTCTCTCAGATCTTGCTCTGATTGAGGAGGCCCTGGGTCTCTCACAGCAAGACAGCCTCCATACGGACACCTTGAGGGAGGAGAGCCATTCTGACCCGGGTCACATTCGTGGCGATTCTCTCTGTGGGGGGTGTTCTTGGCGTGCTGCTGAGCTGGCGTGCAGTCCAATGTGGGTGGATAGCGCCAGGTCACGGATTCAGGAGGCTGCACTGGCTGTGGTGGAAGCACAGCAGGCAGCCGCGGAGTTGAGTGCACGGATTGATAAGGCAGAGGGACGTGCGACAATAGGGCTTGCACCAAGGAGCCTACCAGGATTGTCCTCCTCTCCTGTGACCAGGAGGAGCTTTGATGGTGTGGCGAGTATACAGCACCAGACTGTGGAAGTAGGTTCCAGTTCACCCAAAGAAGCCTCATTCCTTGCAGCCAACAGAACAAGAAGTGAAGGGTCGTACATTGGCCAAAAACTAGCGAGGCTGTTTAGCATGACAAAAGCTCAATCAAGTAAGAGTAAAAAGGGTCAGTTTTAAATGAGATATTGGAAAATAAAATCAAAATCAAATATATGTTGCTATTCTCTCAGTGAGCTGTTCTGATATTCTTCCACTACAACAGATGTGGTTATGACTAACAATTCGTCAACCTAGGGTTCTGAAAACTTTGCTGTGTATCAATGATGATATCCACAAGAAACCGTGTCCAACCGTGATGCACATACTGAGCAGAAAATGAGCGGTGCACATACTAGCCATCCAGTCTCCCTCTCTCACCCGCACAGCTGGCAGGGTAAACCCGAACCGAATGTGAGAATATCGTGACATGGCAGCACAGCCGAATATTGCCCAGCACAGCCGTAAATGACACGTCATACGACAAGTTGACCTGAGTCACCTGACCGAGAAAGTCCTTATTTCCAGGCTGGCGTATCCATGCTTTGTGGCTCCTCCCGCTTTCCCGCCATTTTGCAACCACGCAATTAGCCCTTGTAGAGATATCCCGCAAGGGTGAAGGAGCCAATAACAGCGCTCTTGCGTGCATCCGTATGACCATTGACCAACTGATTTTGATCCTGCACTCATTGCCCGTCCAAAGTGAATCCTGCTCGCCCCCAAGCTCCCAGCACTCGCTTTTCACACACCAAGCTCTCGAATTTATTCTCTGGGAACGAGGGTGTGGTGGTGTCTGAGGGGGGATCATGATAGGATTCCAGAATAAAATACGTATGGGACGTGTGGTTCGGGAACCGGGGAAGGGGGCCTAATGCCTACTCCCTGTACTGTATACCGCGCGTGGGGCTGGTCAGGGAGGTCAGGTGCGACTCTTCGAAACTGTCCTTTCGAGCGCGATTGGTTCATCGGGTCGGTCTCTCAAGAAAAATATCGCGTTGCCAATGGTGCTCTGGGCACGTTCTTGGCACAGCAAAGGCAATGGCGCGTGAACGACGGGGACTGTGTACAGACAGACAACACTGTATGGTGTGAAAAGGCGTACAGTACCTGGGTGTTATTCCTTAGCCGTTCCGTGAGCAACAGCGGTCAGTGCCTTCACTCCAGTCCTTCGATGCGCGCCGGTTCATCGTCTTTCCAGCTGTCTCCAAGCCATCCCGGCAGTGGCCATGAGGCTGCTGGGCGGGACATGAGTACTTGTCCCAGATTCAGACGTCAACGACAGTGACTCAGCTCTTCAACCCTTAGCTGCTCGTTCTACGATATTAATGTCGTGGTCCGGTGTGTTTCTCGTCCATTCAGTTCGATTCGTAGCTACTGGCACCACCCGTGGTTGTTTCCGTTCATTACCAATGGCGGCGGAATCCTTGTGTGACTCCACCTGGACTATTGGCCGTTCGGGTGCCTTCGAGGCGTCATCGCGCGATTCAGCGAGGTCGTGGGAGCACGACGGTGCGTGGGAGCTGCCGTTGCGACTGTGGAGCTCGATCAAGTAGTAGCAACTTGGAATGCGACACTCCAACGGGAGACGACGGCGTCGCAGGTCCGCGACACTCCAGCCCTCCGTTGCACATGTCGTATGCTGACATAAGCCTGCTTTCCCGCCGTTCCGACGACTTGAGCATGCGACAACGGCGGTCTTGTTCTCGTCGCACGTCGTCGTTGCAGCGACATCAGCGTCATGTCGCCTGCGTCGTCGTCTACTCACATGACGACGCGAACCGGACGTTGATGTGCGTGGAATGCTCGAGACTAGGACGCTGAGCTGGCATGCGATCCGTCGTGGATTGACAGCGCACGTGCGAGAATCAGCGGGGCGGCATTGGCTGTTGTGGAGGCGCAACAGGCAGCGGAAGAGCTGAGCGCGCGGGTAGACACAGGCCGCAACACTCCCCGTGCGCATAGGAACCCTGTTAACCTCCGCAAGCTTTGCATGGGAGAGGGCCAGGATCGAATCTCAGAAGTGGTGTTCAGAGGGGGCAAGAGGGAGGGGTGAGGAGGACGTACGCAACAGTTTGGATGCTGAGAAGTGCACAGCTGTATTTGATAAGATGGTGGAAGAAGAGGAGGAATCTGGAGCTTCAGTGACCAAGCTAAGGGGCCTGGGGCCCGGGTGGGGGAAAAGATGCTGGGAGATGACAATTCAAGAGTTGATACGGGGGTTGCATGGAAAGCATAGCGAATGCAATGGAACTCAGGACAAGAAAGCCAGTCGAAGGAAGCATAAGGTTAGGTTTATTATTGGTTGGTTTTGGTATGATGGTCAAAGATTGAAATGTACATAGAAATACGTGCATTGTGTGCATAATGTATTATAAGCCTGTATTGATCGTTATGGTAGCTTGTTGGACAAGAAATGATGCAATGTATAGATGTATTATTGTCATGCGGATTTATCATGGTCCTGATACTTGTGTGTTCTGGATGCATCATGCATCTCAGCAGCACACCCGGTACAGCCGTAACGAGACCGTCGCCTTTGCGGGATTTTGCTCTCGCCAGGAAAACCCTCCTCATCTTTTCCTGGTCCTCCAAGATTGCGGATCATACCACTTTTTGAAACGGATTTCGGTTAACACCGCGTTAGGACCATTGCGCACCGAAATAAACCTATCAGTCAACTGTAAAGCAAACCAAAATTGCCCACATTGCTCATTTTGATTGCCTTTGGACTAAACCTAAAGAAATTAGGACTTCGGCGTAAGTACTTAGTTTCCGCATACCAGTCTACAGCTTGTTTTGATCGGCCTTTGAATTGACTGAAATCTGCACGCTACCTTACCTTGCTCGGTTCCTAAGGAGGTATGGCGGATCAATGGCAGGCCACGCAAGCAGGCGCGTCGCAGGCGGGAGCCATGAGCGCCGGGAGCCAGCCGGCCAGCAGCACAGGTGCCTATGCGCCGTCACACCAGGTGCTGCCGCCGGAACCTTCCACGAGACGTGGTTGCGTTGCATTAGCTGTCCTCTAGATCCTCACTTGATGGTTCCATTCGTCGCGTCGCGCGTGAACCCTCTTGTTTGGTCTCTTCTGTGTTCGGGATTGAGCCTCTTTTTTAGCAACCATGATCGCTTGCTCTATTTCCGGTTCTTACAACAACGCAAAAGAAGAAACCCTGAAAAAAAAAACGCGTTACGGAAGCCCTCAGGCTGACATGCGTGGTCGCCGTGTTGCTTCTGTTTCATCTGACGCATGATGCGTCAGCAGGGTTGGGACGCGAGCGGAGCGTGGGGTTACCAGCAGCAGCAGCAGCAGCAGCAGCAACAGACGCAGGAGACTCAGCTTGGCGGTATTGTCTTTCCGCTAGTCTTCCTGATTCTTGATTCGCCTCGTAAATCGTTTTCGCCAAGTCCTGTAATGCGTCGGAATCGCTTTACCAATAACGACTTGGTTATCTTCCATGTCCGTCAAGTCGAGTCATATTGATATGTTTTGCTTCCATCTCCGTGCGTCATTACCCGCGTCGCTTAAGTGTCAGTGAATCGTGCATCGCCTTATTCATGGCTCCCTGAATCCGTGTATCAACCCGTTTTATGACACTCTTAAACTCCTCATGACTCCCTTGCACCGTTCACGGCTCCCTTGAACCGTTCATGACTCCCCCACCCCGTGTATCAGGGGCGGAGCTCGACCTGGGCGGCCAAGGCGCGGCTCTGGGCGGAGCAGCGGGCGGCGCAGGAAGCGGCGGACGCAGCGGCGGCGGTAGCTGCGGCCGGCAACAAATAAAGAAGCAGCAGCTAACGGGGACAAGGAACCGCCGAAACAGGATACTGCAGCCAGCGGATGCGGCGGGGGGGGCGCCGGGAACGCAACAGCAGGATGTGGGTGCGGGGGCCGGGGGAGGCGGAGGAGGCGGATACGGGGGGTATGTCGCTGCTGACGGGACGTATGTGGGTGGTGGATATGGCGGGAGCTCCGGGGCAGAACAGCAACAGCAGCAGCAGCAGCAACAGCAGCAACAAGCAGCAAGAGCAGCAGCAGCAGCAGTACTATCAGCAGCAGCATTACCAGCAGTATTACTACCCGCCTGAAATGCACCAGCAGCAGCAGCAGCAGCAAATGTACATGTACCCACCTCCACCTCCTTCCCACGGCCCGCCTCTCCCCCCCCACACGCATCCCCCCGATCCCGCGTCGTTCTACCCGCCGCAGTACCCCCCTTCCCCGATGCAGTACCCCCCTCCCCCCGCGCAATTCCCCCCTACTGCCCCCGCTGGTTCGTACAACGGAGTGTACTCGGGATATGGGGACGCAAATGCGCCTGACGCAGCAGCAGCGGCAGCATCAGCAGGAGCCGGTTTTCCCCCGCAGCACGCGCACGAGCAGCACTACCAGCGCCTGCCCCCGCCACCCCCCCTCCGCCGCTCCTCTCCGCCCCGCCTCCCGCGCACGCCTCCTCTCTCCCCCTCCGCCCGCCCCGCCGCCAGCAGCAGGGGCGGCAGCAGCGTACGCGCCGCCAGCCAATCAGGCAGGAGACATGTCCGTGCTCTCACCAGCGGTGCTGGCGGCGGCCCAGGCGGCAGCAGCCTCTGCAGGAATGTATTTTGATCCGGCTGTTTATGACATGGGAGGGGGTGGCTCTGTCACTCCTGGCGCTAAGCCAAAGAAGGTGAGCTGCTGCCGTCGATTAAGACGCTTTAAGAATGCCATTCAGATATCTCTCTGTCCTCCCCTCCTTCCCCCCCACCCCACCCCCCCCCCTCCTGCACCACCCCCCCGTCCTTCTTTCTGTTCTCGCCCCTTTTCTCTTCCTCGTCCCCTACCCTCTCCCGCGTCCCCCCCACACACTCTCTCACTCACTCGTTATCTTTCTTTCCACCCCTCCAGTCCCTCCCCTGTGGCTTGTGGACGAGGTCGTCAAGAAGAAGGCAGCCCTCGCAGTCTCTCCTCTCAGCCTCCTCTTCCCCCCGTCCTCCCTTCTAACCCAACCTTTCTTACTCCATACTCCCACCTTCTGTCTCCGCTTCAGTCCTCCCCTCGTGGCTTGTGGATGAGGTCATCAAGAAGAAGGCAGCCTTAGCAGCAGCAGGAGCGGCAGACTCACCCGCTAAAGCGCCCCCCAAGGACAAATGGTACAACGATAGGCCCTCTCGCTGGAACTGGTGCTGGCGCTGGTGGCGCTTCTCGTGCTGGTGGTGGGGGAGAAGGGGTGTGGAGAGTGACGATGAGGAGGAGGACGAGGAGGAGGAGACGGAGGTGCAGCGGATGGCGATGAACAATGAGATCAAGCGCGTGCTCACAGAAGTGCTGCTTAAGGTGGGTTGGATGTTGAGGGCAGTCGCATGTGAGGGGGATTGCACGCACTGCTGCCAGGTGCAGCGGCGGATGGCGATGAATAATGAGATCAAGCGCGTGCTCACAGAAGTGCTGCTTAAGGTGGGTTGGATGTTGAGGT